TGAAGGGAATTAGAAAGCTATGTTCTGTGAGCTGTTAGATTTAAAGGATGCAGTGGAGAACTTATGTGGAAATATATATATGCGAACAAAGTACTTGGCTTTTTTGAGGTAATTTAATGACACTGAATCATTTGTATGCCTGTTTAACAATAAAACAATCCATCAGTTTTGATCACTTCTTATGGACTCATTTCAGGATAATTCTAATCTCATTCATTAAAGATAATGACGTTTTTAATGCAGATGACATTGGTCAGCCAGATAGGCAATGAAAATCATGCAGAGGAAGAAAAATGAATCGAATTTAACTGTCTCAAGGTGAATATGTTGTGGATAGCATTGAAAACAAACCCCTGCCCTCTCATCTCATCTCTATCTATTGGCCTCAGTAGATGAGATTCTGTTTGTTGGGGTCTTAGCACTAATTTCCACTTTCTTTATTCGAATCTTCTGAAGTTTTGAATATGTTGATTTCCCAATTGGTTCACAGGTTTGGTATTTTGGGAACCAACTTTTGAGTCTTTTCTTCTTGCTGCGGTGGTGCTTGACAGAAAGGCATTGGGGGACTTGGGACCAGAGCATGCTTCGACCTGTTATTATGTCTAAACCTAAAGGCAAGACAAAACATTTTTGATGAGCACAAAAGTAATGGTCAGAAACACCATACTCAATCCCCTTTTCCTAATTGCATGCTTGCTGATGGCTGATGTTCATCAGAATTCAGAAACACCATACTCGATTCGCACAGCTTCGAATTTCAAGATGTAAAGGGTCTTCATTTGGAACCGAACGGTCCAAATCCCTTTGAGACATTAAATTTCAAAACACATCCATAGCCATGTCATCATCCTTGATAGTGCTCCCAGCTGGGGACCTGGGGTGTTGCAACTTTGTGCTTCATTGTCTTGCAGCAAACTATATATGCCGACATGGCTGTATGATGTGAAGAGTTTTCATACCCGGAAGCTCAGCCATGAGTTTCTTCAAGATCTCCCTCAACTGCAGTTCATCACTAGTCGAAAATTTGTGGCTGTATGATATGATCACGATCTTTTCTTAATTGTTTGATGAACGTATAATTTTTTTCACTTGGAACATCATGATTCTCAGGTTGTGGCTGTATGATATGGTCATGATCTTTTCACTTTCTATTGCTCCCATCTATGGCAGCAATCTTAGTGTTCTGATTCTCAGGAGGTCCGTGATCACTTATTAGTGTTCTGATGCTTGCAGTTCTTTATACATTCACTATGATATTACGAACACCATCAAAAAAGTGTAAAAGAAATCACTAACTATAAAATCTTAGGGACGGAGCAATTACAAAGTCAATGTAGAAATAAGCAGAAAAAACATCATTTACATAAAAAGTGAAAATTGAAACCTCCTATTGCGAATGATGTTGAAAAATTATTTCTATTGCCAATAATGTTCAAGTCGAATCCCATAAACAGGGCCCTCTCATCCTGTAAATCCTATTTCTTAGAATATTAAACTCGAACTTGTTTAAGTTAATATTATTTTTTATGTATTTTTGGCTATTCCACTTTCTCTTTTCTTGTTTAGAGTTTCAAATATGTTGATTTCCTATTTGGTTCAAATATGCTATAGATTGAACAAATGAAAAATATCAATAGGTTTACTTGGGTAACAGTTCCACGGAACCCATTTAATATACGGGAAGTTGTGTTTGAGTTCGAGATTTCTAAATTTTTTTTAAATCTATATATATAAAGCAAAATGCAGAGAATGGTGAAACATTCAAAATACCAAAAAATATCATTGGTTAATGCAAATATTAAGAACTGAAATTATTAATTAAATGAGGATAATACGGTGAATTCACACTTTTTCATATTTAAAAAATTAAAATTAAAAGAAAAATCAGATAATGGATCCTATTTTTATGGAACACAACTACCCATGCTGAGAGGCTAGTATAAGTAATAGAGAATGAGTATATGACTAAATATCTCTAAAAAGTAACAAAAAAAGAAAAAGAGAATGGCCCATGCAGGTCTCGAACCTGCGACCTTCGCGTTATTAGCACGACGCTCTAACCAGCTGAGCTAATAGGCCATTTGATAATTTCCCCGTACTTTTTACTACTATACTGAAATGGGATAGAAAACGGCATATCGTGCTGATCGAAAAGAAAGGTATTTCTGGTTGTGGTCAGCCAAAAGAAAGGTTAAAGAAGCTGCTGAAGCAGAAAACAAAGAAAAAGAAGCTTGCTTTTCTACTAATCCACGCTCTACAACTCGAATAGCACAAACCCTGTTCTTAGTTTTCTAGAAAGCTTAAAATCACAGGAAAATTGCAATCAATTCAAAACATACTGAAAAAGATAGACATGGCTGAAACTCTGCTTTTACTGGCAGCGACTCTGTGAAAAGTATCCGAACAATCCAATGCTTGGTCGGCGTCAAGTCACGGACACAAAGGTACCTTCTTAGAACCCCATTCGACCTTAACCCAAATGTACAGAGAGAATATAGTATTGTTATTAATCAAAACACAATACCAGTGGCGGTTCCAGGATTCGAAAGCCGATCGGGCAAAATTTATATAACAAACTTGACGAAACGAGTGAATTTCATTAATAAACATAAAAATAAAATTACATAGTGAGAGGAGACGTAATAAGCCTTATTCTCAAATGCATTTATATCTACAAATACAAAAACTAAAATAAAAACCAAAAGAAAAATTAAAAGAAAAAAAATAGAAAAAAAATAGTTTACATTAAAAAGAAAGATAAAATAGGGGACTACATTAATTTTAAAAAAAACTAGATTTATTTCGAGAGAAATGGGAAGGAAGAAAATTGGCGAAGCTAGGTTTTTTTATTTATAATTTTTATAACTAGTTGTGACCTCATTTCTAGACTTGGCAAACAGGTTGGGTTTGCGGGTTTCGGGTCGTGTTCGTGTTAACCCATTAAGTTAACAGGTTGACACGACACGACCCGTTAAGCTAACGGATGGGAAATACTAGACCCAAACACGACCCGTTCAAATTCGCGAATAACACGACACGACCCCTTTCACCCGTTAAGAATAAAAAATAACAAAAAAATAATTGAAAAAAGATGAAAAAATCAGACAAACCCACCCCAAAACTCTCCTCCTCCTTGGTCGAGAAAGATGAAACTTCATTATTGGAAAGCTCCAACACAGGAAAAGGAAGCAAACTAACAAAAACAACAAGCATTCGTGCGACACAGGGAAACAACACGAAAACAACACCACAAATAAAACAAACCCCATCCAAATTATATATTATATTTAGTAATGGAAATAAAAGTGATTCATTGAGTGGGCTGAGCTGAGGCCGCATCACCATCCGAACCAGCATACCTTGAGGTGCCCAAGGTGTGACTCTGTCAACACCAAGTTCTACAAATCTTGACGCGGTACTGGACCAAAGGCGACATCCCCGTCAGATTTGGCTGCTGGAAAACCAGACGCTCCAACCCCAAATCTTCGGCTTCGTCATCGTCGGAGGTGGCTACAAATCTCACAAAGGCATATCTTATTATTATTATTTTTATACGAGAACAAAGCCAGCTCCCATTTGACTCGGATTTTTGTGAAACAAGGGATATTTGTGCGTGAGTGAAGCAGTGACAGAGACGAGAAAAGAGAGAGACAGAGGCTATGCGCTAGGATTTTAGGGATTTAGAATGTAAATTACAAAATTGCCCTTCCTCTTAAAAGGTTAACGGGTTATTCGCGAATGATACTGACACGACCCGTTAAGCTAACGGGTCCACCCGTTTTCAACCCGACCCATTAAGCTCGACCCAAATACTGATTTTTTTCGTGCAAATTCGTGTCGTGTTAACGGGTCGTGTAAGATATTGCCAGGTCTACTCATTTCTCCCCTTATTTCCTTTTATAAACGTTTATTATGACATCCATTTTTAGCTTTCCACCTCAAGCTCTGTAGCCCTATCAATCATGTTTCGTAATTTCTGAAATACTTATCTTTGTGCAAGACAAATTTTTTTTGATAATCATAAGTAATGTAGGTAATATTTTTCTAACAAAAAGAGAGAAGGAAAAGGACGAAATAAGAAAGGGAGAGAAGAAGAGAGAGAGAAGAGAGAGAGAGGAGAGAAGATGGAAGAAAAAGAACGGAAAAAAAGAGAGATAGAGAGGAGAGAAGGAAAAGAATAAAAAAAAAGGAGAGAGAGGAGAGAGGAGAGTGTAAGGAAAAGAATAAAAAAAAGGAGAGATTAGAGTGTAAGTAATATTTTTTTAAACAAAATTTTGGGCTGGGCAAAAGAGAAGAGAGGAGAGAGAAAAGTGTGGGTAATATTTATTTAACACAAATTTTGGCCGGGCATGAGCCCAGCCTACCACAGGCTGGAACCGCCACTGAACACACCTTAATCATTTAGCCTTTATTGTAATACCATATAATCGAAACTTCCAAAATAATCCCGTTCATATAAAATATAAACATCAAAACCCAAAATATCCTTATTTTCTCGCAACCATACCTTTTCTTAGGCGTATGCTTACAAACACAAAATGTCAAATAATTTGCAAATACCCAATCTCAAATCCAAACCTCATTTCAAAAATCCATACCTGTGCAGAGCAGTCCTAATGTACATGCTTAGAAAACTCAACCTGGAAACAAGTCCACAAATGTACCCACACAAATACCCATATACATCTTTATTAAACAAAATCGACTTTAAAACCAAGATATCCCATAATCACGATATAGCATATAACACAACTCAAACTGGACCTTTTTCCCTTCCCCGACGCACGCAGACTGCTCGACCAAGGGTCTACAAAACACCCTGACAAGGGTGCCTGGGTTCTGACATATCCAAGTATCCATTGTTTATTCATATCCAAGTATCCAAGTGTTGGGGATGTGCATAGGTTGGTGCTATCAACACTCCAATATAACATATTCCACATCCCAACTCATATACCATAACCATATCCCAAATTGATCATACATGAAACAGCTTGTCATTGGTTCAAACCACATAAGAATTACTTGGCTTTATTTACAGCTGTACAACCATAGCAATTAGTTCAAATTTATCCCAACCAATTGTCAATTGATGCCATTAGCTAATTACTATGCTCTATTGACAGAACCTAAACAATAAATTGGAATTTCAACATAGAAACGCACCTCTTGCTTAACAGAACCAAAAACAACCACCAAACAGCTCTATCTAAAGCAGCAAAACACCACCTACAAAACATCAAAAGCAGACATGGTTAAGAAAGAAGAGGAGAAAAAGCAAAAAAAAATCGGAAAAATTGCAGTTTCTGATTTTCTAGTCCCAAAACTGTCCAAATATGTTTTTATGTGCAGTGTTTTTATATGAGATGCTTGAACTTTGTTAGTCCACTACTAAAACAAAAGAAAAATATTGGAAAACAAAAACAAACAGAGACAGAAGAAAACAGAATATCAGCCATCATCAAAATCCAAAGCAAAAATCACAGAGCGAAATTCAAGTTTTTTTTTCGAAGGAAAGCCACCAAAGTTGATCCATACATATTACATGTGAGGCTGTAACATAGGGAGCAAATAGGCATGAAGGTAATAACGTTTGTGACTACTTGTTTCAATCCCATCACAGAGCATCTCTTTTGTACAAATTTGTTGTGCGTATCTTTTGAATCTCTGGGATTTACTTTAATAACAAAATAAAAATCATTCTTTGTATTTAATCCTGGTGATAAAAATGTTTATGGCTTTTGAACTGGTGGTTTAAGCCAATTAGGAGGAACTTGGTTGGTCAGCTATAAATAGTCTCTTTTTCCATTTAAATTTGGTTTTATTTTAATCTCAATAGAAGAATCTGTACAGGCAATATGGTCTCCAGTTTATAGTTTAACAACACAAACATGTTATGTTGCCAGACTGCCCCCAAAAAAAACACATAATGCTTCTTTGAGCTCCTCTCAATTGGTTGTGTTCCTAACCATCCTTACTAAAATTAGCAGGAGTTCTCTAGAGGAGGGATCCCAAAAAGAAATTAAGAACTTGATTAACATCCCTCAAATATAAATCCTTTTCAACATTGGCAATATCACAATGCAGCCATAATCAAGTAATTAATCAAATTAATTAACAATGTTAGCAGAATTGTAGATCGATGGGCATAGACATAAGCGTTGTTCTATATCAGATTTTCCAATTAACACAAATATTAGAGTATCTAGACAGCTTGAATCTAGCTTAGCATAACCAAGTTGAAAAATGGTTCTATAAAGTATCAGGCTGCCGGATCTCTCCTGTTCAAAGAGGGATCTTAATAAAATTAGAACCCACAAACTAAGAACGAATTGAGGATGGTTACATTCATATTTTCTGAGCATAGATATATTATACAGAAAGAAAAGCTGGCCAAAGAGAACTATATAAAAAGATATTTATTTAATTAAAAAATGAGGGTATATATATATACCTATTACCCAAAGCAATGTGTAACTTAACAATGGTTTCTTCCTCCTCAGCAGTGATGTTCCCTCTCTTCAAGTCAGCCCTCAGATAATTTATCCACCTCAGTCTGCAACTCTTCCCACACCTCAGCAATCCTTCAAATCACACACAAACACATTGATTTGTGTATATTTACAACCAAATGAATACACATTGGAAATATATATAAAGGATCCTTTATTGTAAAAATCTTTCAAGGCTAGCTAGCTACTATATATATATATAATATTTAGACCTGCATTCTTGGGTAAAGATCTCCAAGAGCCTTCTCCATGAAGTTGAATGCAGATCTACAATCGCCTTGTATTTGATTGGCTCCTGACCTGTAAAATTGTTGGTCATCTTTTTGAATGAGGGATCATAGTTTCAATCTGAACTTTTTGCCAAAAGTAAAAAAGGGAAGAATTTCAAAAACTAATGACAGGTCTCATTCATAATCTCCATCCTTAATTAATAAATAAAAAAATGCATATGCAGAGGGTTCCTATATTAATTACTCCAGTTGGATGAGACTGTTCATAAAAAATAAAAAATATGATAAAGCAAAACAACAATTAAGCAGCATTAAGAAGAGAAAAGATAGTATATTTTTACTCTACACACAAATATATTGGCATTTTTTCACGTCAGAATGAACAAAAGCTAGTATATTTTTACTCTACAGACAATTCTCTGAACACGCAACCTTCTGATCTTGCTACATCTCTTGCCAATCATTCTGGCTACATCTCTTAGAATTATAGTTCTAATCTGGAGTCATAAAAAATAAAAAATAAAAAAGGAGGAGTCTATAACCACACGCAAACAGAAAATCAGCCACACAGACATCAATTACCAGATTGATGAGCAGACTGGGGGTTCTCATATGGATTACTCCAGTTCTTTTTCCTTAGATCTTCGTCCCTGTAAGAACAAACGAAACTCAATTTCTGATTGACTTCTCAATTTTCGACATGACAAATGAATAAACCAACCTAGAAAACCAAAAGAATGTTAAAGCCAACCTTTTTTAACGAAACCTAGAAATCCCTTTGAGCTAAACCCGTGCGATGAGAAGAAGGATGAAGCGCAGCTGGAACGGCAACACTCGAACGCAACATCCGAGAGGAAAACCAATGAGATGAAAACCAAACACTAGTATAAAAAAACCCTTGAGCGACGAAACACAATTCGTCGCACAAAGTGACTTTGCGCGACGAAAATTAAACTTCGTCGCTCAAAGTCTTACGCGACTACATTTTGCGCAACGAAACACAAATCGTCGAACAAAGTCACTTTGCACGACGACAAAGCATCATCGCGAAAAGTAACTTTGCGCGACGAAACACTTAAATTCGGTGCACAAATTCTTGCATGACGAAGTGTGGTTCATTTCGTAAAGTCTTTTAAAAAATAAATTAAATAAAAATTTATTTTTAAAAATCTATGCATGACTTTGCGCAACGAAATACTTAAATTCGGTGCACAAATTCTTGCGCGACGAAGTGTAATTCGTCTCGTAAGGTCTTTTCAAAAATAAATTAAATAAAAATTTATTTTTAAAAATCTATGCATGACTTTGCGCGACGAAAGACAAAAATTCGGTGCACAAAGTCTTTCGCGACGAAATCTCGTTCGTCTCGCAAAGTGTTTACAAAAATAAATAAAATAAAAAATTATTTTAAAAATTATTTGGATGGCTTTGCGTGAAGAAAAAATAATCTTCGTCTCGCAAAGTCTTTACAAAAATAAATTTAAAAAAAATTATTTTGTTAGAAAAATTTATTATTGTAGTTCGGATTGGGTTTTTGTTAGAAAATATATTTTTTAAATTGACAATCGAATTGG